AAAAATAAGCTCACTATAAGCACACAAATATTATTCAAATTTACAGTATACTGCATCATAAGAAAAATAAATACAAAATTGGAAACATGAATTTCCATAGACTGGTACAAGTGATTCAGGCAGACTACATAAAAACATAATACATGATATACATATAACTATACGATCTTATTTAACCCATTAAGCACCAGAGCTCTCCCCTTTACGAGTAGAATAGGCGTTCGACAGAGTAGAGTAATAAAGTTCAAAATCATTTTGTTTGAATTACTTCACCTATCTATTTGTTTAAAATTATGTATGGTAGATGCTGTGGTATGAACACTTGCAAAATTACTCAAAAAAATTTAAAATATAATGTGACATTATGTTGCCTTGACAACACTTGACACAACGTGAGCCTGTGTTCAGTGCTGGCCAATTGCTAATAGTTCATGTTAAATCAATGTTTGGAAAATATAGGCAAAGGGTTGCTGCATGCATTTATTTCTAGTTAAATATTAATTGGACATGCTCATGTCACTAGTGGTATTCATTATCTTGGTCAGACAAAACAAATTCCACAACCCACAGGTTAAAATAGACATCTTGTGAATTATATCACAAACAATTAATAATTTTTTGCTGCAGCAAGCACAGATTCACCAGAAACATGTAACCTCATGAGTTTACACACCTCAAAACAACACTTTCCTAAAATGATAGCTTTCCTTCATCATTTAATTTTATAACTGGACTTAGCTGATCTCTTCTTATAGTTTTTATATTTTTAGACTTTTTGTTATTCAAGTTTGAAACGAGACCAAGATTGGTAGCGTTTAATTTTGACAATTTAAGAGAATGTAGTTCTGCATTACTGTTTTTCTCTGTATCTCATCCTTAATAAGCCTACCATTTTTAAATTTCAAATTGCCTCTTTCTTTCCTCTTCTATACATTAATAGTTTTTCTTTGGAAAATATCAGTAATCATATTTCTAATCTGTACAGTTCTGTTCCTACACAACATCTTCGCACCCACACATCGTGTTTAGGACTGAAGTTCCAGATCATGGAAATGCTCTGCCAACAGCCCTGCGGGTTCCCAAAGAGTGTGTAGCCCATGTATATCATAGTACAAACCATAGAAATAAAATTAAAACAATATATTTCATTTCAAATGCTTTTTTTCTTCATTAATGTACAATAACTAGGGAATTTTATGTAAAGTGCAATTCTACATTCTCTTCGATTGACTTGAATATGTTTATGGCTAGCATTTATTTGATGTACTACAACAAATCCACTAAATTTCAATGGACATACATAGCATCTCCCTATTTGCCATAAGGCATTATATTTGGTATTTTAATTAATATCTTAATTATTACAGAAATGATTGCACAAGTCATGCGTTTTGACCAATGTTGATCTATATTTTCAATATTAACCCCATTAAGCACCAGCGTTCTCCTCTCAAGACAGAGTAAAAAAAAATAAATTAGGGCAGAATGCGACTCAATGTGTTAACAACACACATGGGCAGATAGGCCAGTTAACCCCATTAAGCACCAGTGCTCTCCCCTTAATGAGTGAAATCATCTGGCGTTAGACAGAGTAAAATAATAAATTAGGGCACAATGCAACTCAATGTGTTAATAACACACATGGGCAGATAGGCTAGTTAACACATTAAGCGCCGGTGCTCTGCCCTTAATATTGTCCTGCGATAGGCAGAGTAAAATAATAAATTAGGCCGCATTAGGGCACAATGCGACTCAATGGGTTAACAGTGTACACATGGGCAGATAGGCTAGTTAACACATTAACCGCCAGTGCTCTCCCCTTGATGAGTAAAATTGCTAGCGTTAGATAGCCAGAGTAAAATAATAAATACTTAGTGCGCATCAGGGCGCAATGCGACTCAATGGGTTATTAACATCAACAATGTTTCAAATGTCAAATCTGCCATGCTCAATATAATCATAGATTCGACTATTAATTTGACATGTAAGTCAGATCATAGTTAATCGTCAGATGTCCTGTATACAACAACAACATCAATATATAGTATACTATTAATTAATTAATCAATCAGCCACAAAAATGTCAATCGTGTATTATTCTCGGCCTAAAAGCTAAACCTATTAATCCTAGATTGGTGTTTAGTTTGGCTTTTGCTGCTACTGAAACGACTTTTATATAATTATGTGATTACAGCTCGGAATTACAGTGGGTTCTGCATATAAAGATTTTCTCTGGATTCGATGTTTCACTATTTAGTATCGAGTAAAATCAACAAATAATTATGGGTCAAACGAGGATGAGAGTATTTTAAAGTTGAAACATAGTTGCAGAACACTCATCAAAGCTTTAATAATATTTTGTTCATCTGGAACTTCAAATGTCCTTTGTGTATTGATAAGCAATTCATGCATGACTTTCATCCTCATTTGACCGAGGCTATATAAATCTAAAATACCAGTTTAAAAACTTACATTATCAAATGACCAGTGTTGCCAGTATGCCTGATTCAGGAGATGATTCTTGATTGGGCAAAGTTAAACTAGACTGGGCTACTCACAGGCGGCCCAATCTCAGAATGAATGATCAGGTGTTGCGGGTTTTTAACGGTTTTTATAAACAAATTTATAGTCAACCAAAACTATTTTAAAAACATTCTTAAATTAGTCAAATAAATACATTTTAACAATAAAATATAGTTGACATGATAGTATAATAATACCTTTGCATTCTTTTAATTACTCCATGAGCTCATTTAGAGCGGTTGATGTAACATTTTCTGTGGCCTACATTGTGTGTGCTCATCTATATATAATATAACAGTAAAAGGCTAATCACTGGCGGCACGACCGCATCGCCTTCAATGTCAAATATCTCCGCTCAAACTTCTCGTACGCCAAAACAAATTCGATTACATCTTTTCACAAAGATTTCTCTTTCTAAATAATATGGTTTGATCGTAGCTTGGGCAAATTTAGCGACGAACGGAACCAAAATCTCCTCAATTTCGGATACCGTTCAAAATACTTAGCCTTAGGGCTTAGTTTGTCGCTTTATGCTGTCCCACCCCACGTAAGGCGTTATTGTCAGTATGTATTGATTACGTCACGTCCACGATCGTGCCCGAGCAGCCCTAAGTATTTTGAACAGTATCCGAAATTGAGGAGATTTTGGTTCCGTTCGTCGCTAAATTTGCCCAAGCTACGATCAAACCATATTATTTAGAAAGAGAAATCTTTGTGAAAAGATGTAATCGAATTAGTTTTGGCGTACGAGAAGTTTGAGCGGAGATATTTGACTTTGAAGGCGATGCGGTCGTGGCGCCAGTGATCAGCCTTTTACTGTTATATTATATATAGATGAGCACACACAATGTAGGCCACAGAAAATGTTACATCAACCGCTCTAAATGAGCTCATGGAGTAATTAAAAGAATGCAAAGGTATTATACTATCGTGTCAACTATATTTTATTGTTAAAATGTATTTATTTGACTAATTTAAGAATGTTTTTAAAATAGTTTTGGTTGACTATAAATTTGTTTATAAAAACCGTTAAAAACCCGCAACACCTGATCATTCATTCTGAGATTGGGCCGCCTGTGATATAACATGCCTGAGATTTTGAGAGTGGTCCAAATCTGCTGGGACACAGGTATTGCAGCAGTCTATTCGTCCTGAAGCAATTGACCATTTGCGTAATAGACTAAATTTTGATCTCAACAAAAATTTCATTACAGCTTGAAAGAGCACCACAAAATTAGTAATATTCCAAAGTTTCGTTGCAAAATGTTGTAAAATGCGGAAAATATAGCCTTGCGAAGTTTCCAATTTTCAGTCATTTTAGATTACAAACCGGAAATTGACAGCCTCGAAGGGTTTGAGGCTGTCAATTCCCCGTTTGTAATCTAAAATGACTGAAAATTGCAAATTTCGCAAGGCTATATTTTCCGCATTTTACAACGTTTTGCAACGAAACTTTGGAATATTACTAATTTTGTGATGCTCCTTCAAGCTGTGATGAAATTTTTGTCTAGACTTGTTTAGTTCAAAATTTAGTCTATTACGCAAATGGTCAATTCAACGTCTTGGCATTTTTAACTTATCTGGGAGAGAACACCAGGGTTTAAGACCTTGATAAAGTATGGTGAACTGTTTTATGTTATAGTTCTACAAACATGTGACACGTGATCGATATAGACTAGCGTTTCTTGTATTGTGTTGATGAATTTGATTCCTGAGTAATAAATAAGTTGTGAAAAGATGAAGGTAGTAGCTTGTTATGATAGGTATTAATACATGAATTGTCCAACATAGGCTAAACGAGTTAATCTTATGAATGTTAAGCACATTCATTTCAATAAAAAGCGGAGCAGTATGCTCGTAATAATCCGAATTTGAAAATTTACGAATTTGGACAATTTGTGGCGCTAAGAAGTGCGAAAACACGATAACATTTCATGGGAAAGACGGTGATATGCTGAAAGAATTCTTGATGCTTTTACTGAGTAAACCCAGAAATAAACAAGCGACCAATATATTGCCTGTGAATAGTGTGCCCACAACCGATATTGAGTTTGACATGCAACAGGAAGCTAGTGGAAATACAAATGATGTTGCGGCTGAGAAACCTGAGTCCTCATTGTAGTAGGCTATATATAATCGAGGATAAGCTATCAGAAATTGAGAGGAAACTGTGCGGTTTGTATGATATAACTTATAAAATCTATAATTCTGTTAGCGATTCGACAGCGATAGGTGATGATTTGGGCCAAACGTTTTGTAAGGATGGTCATACTAATGCAATAGATCAGCCCAATCAGAACAACGAGCGTCGGCGTCCCCTTTCAGAATATTACGAATTGACAATAGACTTAGAGGAAGTTAAGCTGGATGCGGTGATAAACAGGGACGCCGGAACTGGGGGGGGGGCAGGAGGGGCAGCCGCCCCCGTTGCCCTTTACCAGGAGGGGCAAGGGGGGCAAAGGTGCCCTTTCAATTTAAAGGAATTCCTTGGCGAAATAGCGAATTGTCAGAAATGTTAGTGCAATTCTTTTACGAATTTGCTTCAGAAAATGCAAGAAATGCAGTCATCGAGCTTCAAGAATAGCAGTTATAGCACAATCGCCTGGCGGAGAACCCACTCACACCTCTATCATCCAATAAATAGAAAACATGATTAGGCGAAGTTCAACTCCCAATATTTTGTAAACATCTCTTAGTATACATCAATTCAAAAGTGCCCTTTCACGAAAATATGCCCCCCCCCCCTGCCTTCACATCGTTCCGGCGTCCCTGGTGATAAATCACATGTACACTAAACTAAACTACCAACATTATCTCATCAAATAGTAAAGTTATTAGCGAAAATACTCAAGAAATGAATCAACTCAAAGAACAATTGACCAATATGCAAAGTGAGCGTCAAACACTCATTAAGGAAATTTCAAAACAAAGTGAGATAATTAAGCAACTATCCTCCAAAGTGGATAATTTGCAAAACACACAAGTAATCCATAGTGCTCAACATAGCGTTAGATCAAGTACGTCAAAGGAATCGCTCAACACCCAACAAACTACTGAGCGTCTCGATCTAAACAAACAGCTAAATACTCCATTGAGCGCTAATCTACCTGTCTCAATGAAACCGCCGAATAAGAAACACAACGCAGTGAATACTAGGCCTATTAAGTCTAAAGAAAAATTAGCAAAACATGTTTGTCCATCCAAGAATGCCTATAAATAGGAAAACTAGTCCCGAAGAAGCGTTGAGACCTCGCGAAATGAGTCAAATTCAAGACAGAAAGCGAACCACGAATTAATAACCACAACATAATAAGTTTTTAGACGTTCTCTGGTTTTTAAATATTTATTATTACGAGCTTTCGACTGCCAGTCTGCAGTCTTCAACGGGTGGATTACAATGAGAGTGTGATAATTACAACGGTATACAATTACATATAGATACAAAATGACAGAAATATTTTGCTAAGTAGAAAGCGGTATTGTTCCGGTAAATGTTTTGAATTGTTGTCGGAGTTTTTTGTGCATGCAGTGTGCCACGATTCAAGTGTTTCTCTGTGCCGATAGTTGCCTTTGTCAATTAGGATTTTTAATAGCGGGCTATTAAAATATATTCTTATCTATGGTTGTTTGTCCAAGCGTGATTAGCGATATTTGAACCACTTTTATAGAGCTCTACATTTCTCCTGTGTTCCCTTTCGTCTAGTGTTGAACGCTCTGCCAGTTTCGCCAATATAACTCCATGGGCAATCTGCACAATTGATCTTGTAGACCACGTTAGTCTGATCCTCCGGTGATGGTCTGTCTTTAGCAGAAGGAAATGACTGTTCCAGAGTGTATAAGGGTTTTGTTGTTATTCGGATGTCATGGGGTTTTAGGATTCTTTTGATACGTTTCACGCTTGGACAAACAACCATAGAATAGATTTTAATAGCGGGAAAATAATTGACAAAGGCAACTATCGGCACAGAGAAACACTTGAATCGTGGCACACTGCATGCACAATACCCTGGGTGCCAGAGGTTTTTCCACGCTCGCAACGCAAAAAAATCGCCCGTCCGTCACTATATTTTTTTGCGTTGCGAGCGTGGAAAAACCTCTGGCACCCAGGGTACATGCACAAAAAACTCCGACAACAATTCAAAATATTTACCGGAACAATACCGCTTTCTACTTAGCAAAAAACTCTGAATCTATCTACATGTAATTTAAGTCATTAATCTTGTATGTAGGCGGAACTGTCATATTTCTGTCATTTTGTATCTATATGTAATTGTATACCGTTGTAATTGTCACACTCTTATTGTAATCCACCCGTTGAAGATTGCAGACTGGCAGTCGAAAGCTCGTAATAATAAATATTTAAAAACCAGAGAACGTCTAAAAACTTATTATGAATAATCCTGGTTTCAAACATATTTAAACCACAACATAGTTGACATCGGGAGGTTAATTACCGCTAATTGATACACAACAACATAAAATTCCAGCTAGAATAACCACTCGTTTCCCACAAGGAACTAGAGCAAA